AAACGGGGGCGCAGAGCTGGAAGGGATGCTATGGAGTCCACCCCTGCCATTTTATAAATGAGGAAACTGAGGCTGGAAGAGCTTAAATAACTTACCCAGGATCACACTGCTGGGATCTGAGGCAAGATTGGAAGCCAGGACTTCCTGACTCCAGCCCCAATACTATATCCACTACGAGTTTGAGAAAAGGGCATTAGATTAGGCTATCAAGGAGAGACTACAAAATATTGTATTTTTATCATTTAAATTTATAGGATGTTCTCATCTCTGTGAGCTCTCTAACGAAAACAATCCTTCTGTAGGATTTTAAAGGATAAAATCCCACAAAAGAATGATTGGGATAATTCTCCAACAAAGACCGAACTAGGCACAAGGTAAAAGTGAATCATGGATTTCCTGTAAACATTTCAGCTAGAGCCATCTGGGAAAATTCCCATTCCCTCGTTCCAGGAAACAAGATGTGTCTCAGCTAATTTCACTAAATGTATTGGTACAAAGCAGAAGCCACGTGTCCAGCATCTGGCCAAAGCCACACGAACAAGCTCAAGTAAATTCCCCTGAAGAAAGACATGCAGGCCATCTGTAAATGCACCAACACACTAGTGGACAGAGAGATAACCACCTGTAAAGTAAACCATCCTTACACGGTTATTCCAGTCATTTTACATAGATCTCTTACTCAGATCTCTCCTCAGAGCTATCAAAAGTTGGTTTTTAATCTCAACTCAATTTTCCCCCCTGTTGCCTACCATGCATAATTGGGCTGTCTCTTCATGACTATGATTCAGTTCCTTTGTCAATTGATATATGCTTAGCGAACGAGAATATTTAATGCCATCTTAAGAAAAACATAATTGGGAAAACCAATCTGCCAAAAATTATATACAGCCATGCATTAAAAAACAGATTTCTTTTTTTTTTTTAATCATTTCTGGCTAAATGAGCAGGGTATGCATGGAAATTTCCAAGTGCTTTTATCTGGAGAATCTTGCCCTCCTTTTTCAGTTGCCAATGGTCTTGAAGGAGAAGGAGAAATGTCTTCTCATCCCTACTTAAAGATTTTTACTTTTTCACATAATCTAATGAACCCTACAGACAGAACTTCAGGATCCTCTCTTGAGGATGTCACTGACAATGATTTCTTACACCAGACAGTCCTTATTTAAAGGGACCCTGCCGGGATTTCCCACTTCCCTCTCCCTCCAGGCACAGTAGGGAGGGCCGATGACTAATTGGAAGAGATGGGAGCACAGGGGACCTGGGCACAGAGGGAAGGTTCTCAAAGTTCTGTCTTGATTTGGGATGAGACCAAAGGACTGAGGGGCCTTAGAGACTTGTCCTTGCCTCGTCAAAGACACTGAGTGGGCGGGTGTCTCACTGCACGGCTGGGAAGATTCGTGGGCCATAGGAGGGAGCTGGGAGGGGAGGTCACTGGGTGAGGCCAGGACTTGGGGTGGGCTGGGGGCTCCTCTCAAAGGTGCCTTGTGTGCAGGGCCATAAGCAGTTTGGCTTTCCCGTAGCCCCTTTCTGTGGCTGATGGCTCCCACTGAAGTGTCTTAAGTTCTGTCTTCTTTCTACTAATAAAACTTTATTTTCCCCCTCCAATTAAATATTGTGATCCACCTGTTTGCAAGCCTTAGGCTATGGGTGGGGGTGGGGGTGAGGGTGAGGGTGTGCCTTCATTTCTCTAGACTTCCTGGGCAGGACCCATGAGCCCAGGGAACCGAAAGGCTACCCTTTGGGGGCTGGTCCAGGATTATCACTGAGGTATACGGTGAGAGGCAGTATGGGCATAGGGGGAAGTACGCTACATTTGAAGTCAAGACGATGAGGGTTCACTGACTGCCTGGGTAACCTTGGACAAATCAGTACCTCTCTCTGGCCTCAGTTTCCTTATTTGTAAAATGAGGCAATTGGATTGGAGGACCTCCAATGTCGGCCCCAGCTCTCTATCTGAGATCTGCCATCACTGCCCTGTCGTGCTCTGGGGCCCAAGGGGGAGTGCCATGGAGGTGGCCGGGTCTGTGGCTGGCAGGGAAGTGTGATGAGAAGGCCTGTGCCACCTTAGGCAGGTTACCGCTCCTCCCTGGGTCTCAGGGAGAAAGTGAGTCAATGAGAGCAGATGGTATCTTAGGTTCTTCCAGATCCAGGGGCATTGATACCACAAGAAGAGCCCGCAGACTGGAATCTGGGGGCATCAGAGGCCCCGCGATGTCAGGATAGATGCCCGTGACAATGAAGTTGGCCTGGAGAGTTTTCTGAGGTCTCACTGCCCCCAAACTCTGGTACCTAGAGAAGGGGGCAGAAGGAAGGTGGGGTCCTAAATTCCCTGACACACCTAGTTCTGGAAGAGCTGGCATTTTTCTAGCTAGGAAGGGAGAACTGTAACTCCTATGGCAAAATTACTGCAGTGGGGAAACCGCCCTTTTCTGCCCCAACACGTTTGTGCCCCCAAAGTATGGGCACAGACCTCCTGCTCCCGGCCCCCCGGCCAGGCCTGTGACTTAGCAGAACAGCGCTCCCTCCCTGGCCACTGTGCTCCTGGAGGCCTGCCTTCCCCAAAGACTATAAGCTCCCGGGGGCAGGGCCCTCTTGACTTTTGTACTGTCTCCCTACTTTGTTCATTCACTTGTAGATCCTCAGACAGGGTCTGAGACACAGACAGACAGACAGAACTGTCTCCCGGGGGATTCCCCATGGGAATTCCCACTATTCCCATTGCGCTCAGAGCAGAGCAGGGCACAGGGGGACAGCCTCCTGGAGTGGGCCGGTGGCACTCCCAGCAGGGGCCTCCCCCAAGGACTGATTTCTTTGTACTTTTGGAGGTTTGGGCAAGAACCTCAGCTCCCCATGGACTTAGTGCTTTGTGGGCTCAGGCTTCAGAGACCCAGAGACTTGGGGCCCAGACACCACCAGGCTGAGAAGAGGCGGAAAGGCCTAGGCCTGGCGACAGCTTCAGCACATTTCCAAACAACTGCAAGAAACAAAACCACGCCGCCCGCTGTCAGGGGCCTCGAGACAGGGCAGAGAATCCCTGTGCACAATTCCACCCTGGAAAAACCGCATCTCTCAGTGCCCTCTCCTCTCTCTTCACACAACTGACCCCCAGCTCAGACCCTGCCTCAGGACTCTCCCACTGCCACTCAGCTTCCACGAGGCCACTCAAGGGTGACCAGGTCACTCTCCTACTCAGGAAACTCTGTGGCTGCCTAGTACTGATTAGGATGAAATACAGACAGCCTCATTATACCTTCTCCCCCTTCCAGCCCTCCATTCATTCATTATTTCCCTTCTTGTCTTCCTTGGTTCATGTATTCATTATCCCCCCCCCTTCTTTCCCTCCTTGAGTGATTCATTCATTCCTCCCTTTCCAGCCTTCATTCATTATTCTTCTTCCTGCCCTCCATGGTTCATTCATCCCCCCCCCACACTCCATGTTTCATTCAATCCTTCCTCCCCTTCTTTTCTGCCTTGATTCATTCTTTCATTACCCCCCTTCCTGCCCTCTGTGGTTCATTCCTTCCTTCCTCCCCTTCTTTTCTGCCTTGATTCATTCTTTCATTACCCCCCTTCCTGCCCTCCGTGGTTCATTCCTTCCTTCCTCCCCTTCTTTTCTGCCTTGGTTCATTCATTCCCCTCCCCTCTTTCCCTCCTTGGTTCATTCATTCATTCTTCCTCTTCCATCCCTCCATGGCTCATTCATTATTCCTCCTCCTGCCCTCCACGGTTCATTCATTTATTCCCCCCTTCCTGCCCTCCATGGTTCATTCATTCATTACTCCCATTTCCTGCCCTCTTTGGTTCATTCATTCTGGCCCTCTGCGGTTCAACAATACGACCTTGTTTCTCATACATGGCACACCAGGAGCTGTTCCTCCTGCGTTCCGTCCTGACCTTTCTTCCTTCCAAGCTCAGCTCAAGCACCCCCCTGAGTGGCCATTCCAGACTCCCCCAACTGCCAGTGCCCTCTGCCTACTCAATCACTCCGTATCTAGAATCACAGACCCTATGGGTCATCGAGTTGAACTTCCTAATTTTCCAGGTGAGGAACTGAGGATCGATAGATGAAGAGACTTGTCATGGCAGTGGCAAGAGCCTAGTTCTGACTCCAGAACCAGCGTATGGAGCAGCTGGGTGGCACCATGATTAGAGCAGTGGCCCTGGAATCAGTAAGACCTGAGTTCAAATCCAACCCAAGACGCTTATTAGCTTTGTGACCTTGGGCAAGTCACTTAATTTCCACCTGCCTCAGTTTCCTCAACTGTAAAATGGGGATCACAATAGCACCTACCTCCCAGGGCTGTTGTGAGGACCAATGAAATAATGATTGTAAAGTGCTTAGCACCAAGCAGGTGCTTATTAAATGCCTGTTCCCTCTTCCTCTGCCCAAGTATGTTCTCCACTCCACCATGTCACCTCCTATCTGGACCTATGGACTGAAATACCAAAAAAGGAAAAACAAAGAGAAACCTGCCAAGGCCATAAATGGAGTGCAGATTGAGGGGAGATGGGGGTAAGGGGGGACTCTGAAGCCCAGGGCACTGCCGCTGTCAACATCTGGTTTTAGCGTTTTTGAGTGGGGGAGAGGAAGCTGGGTGATGCCGCGTCTACAGCTTTACATCGTATTTAAATGGTTAAGGCGCCCACTAAAACATTGTAGGAAACTGTGATACTTAGAAGGCAGGAAGTGGTTTCATTCTAAGATGATATTTTAAATCAGAGGCACAAGAGAGAACTTGGCAGCAGGATCAGAATTAGGAAGGTTTGCATCCAGCTGTGGAACAACAAAGGCCAGAACACAAGTCTCATCCAGCCCCTAGTGACGGTGGTGGGCTACTGGCCGGCATCTTGGTTTCTATAAGAAAAGATGGAAAGCAGATGGGAAGCAGGCTGGATAAACAGGTACAAGGTTCAACTCTCACGATCAATTTTCCTTTGAAGTTAAAGGTGAGAAGGCCCCAGAATAGACACATGGAACTGGAAATATTTCGGATACCCACCATTTTCACAAGTATGTCATACTCTTGCTTATTCATGTCTCAGCTATCCGAGCTTCTGGGTTATTTCAGGTGATAAATCACGGCAAAAGAGAAAAAAAGAAAAAAGGTATGTGTGACATACTTAGGTTTCAGGCTCCTCCTTCCCACCCGAAATGCATCTTAACACTGCCTTCTTTGATCCTAACGGTAACTCCAAGGACGCACCTTATTCCTACCTAACATGTGTTGAGGTTTTATTATAGATGCCCAACCTGGAGGTCAGATATTCTGGGCTGGCTTTAGTAGCGGCATAAGGAAGCCTGCTAGAGGGGACGCAGCATGTAAATACATCGAAGAGAAAAGTAGGGTAAACCACAAGCTGATTATAATTAGTCTGAGGAAATGACTTTCTGTACTCTAGAAATTAGCATACTAGAAATACAGATATTTTCTGTGCCTTCATCTGTTACATTTTGGAAAAAAAAGATTCTAGTCTTGTTTGTTGTCCACTAATATTTAAAGTAAACCTTTTTTCCCCCCAACAAAGCTCATAGGAAATTATATGAATTTGCTTCAGTTTTGGATTGATTTTAGTTCAAGTCTACTTTGTAAAAACAGGATTTTGTTGTACCAGTCACATCAGAGAGGTGAAAAGCAAAAACCACGCCTCAGCTAAAAGTCACTCCTGGGGAATCTAGAGCCATGCTATCTTATTTGTGATTTAAATGAGTTTCAGCAGACTTGACCTTTTCAAGGCTGTGATATGACATGACTCCCGGGGTGAAGAGATGGGAACAATCCCTATGGAAATACTGTACGGGCAGAGGAGAGAAGTCCAAGAGAGCTCACCATCCCTTATGATAAACAAGGCAGGAGTCTACCCAAGTTCGTCACCTATTCTAGGGCCTTACCAGGTAAATTGGGGTTGGTCTGACTTCCTGGGATGAGTTCTCTCTCAGATGGGAAGCTTCTTGGGGGCCGGGCTAGTGATGGATGGATTTTTCCATCTCTAGGACACAGCATGATATCTTGAACATACTAATTCAAACCTTTATGTTGGTAAAGGTTGAATCAAGTCTTTCCTTCCTGATCTCTCTAAATAACTTTGACATTCCTTGTATTCTAGACTTCAGTCTCTGCGGCCTGGATTGGGAAGTTGCCACCAAGTGCTGGGAAGGATTCGGGGACTCTGGGGAGGAGCCGGGCCAAGGATATTCTGCTCCTAACCACAGGAACATGGTCAGAATCCAGTTCCATAAAAATTCACTAATTATTTACTAGGGCAGGGCAGGATGCTGGGGCGCCCCTGGGGTGCAAAGGCAGATATGAGCAGATGTGACAAGGCCCAATCTCAAGGACCTGATGATCTCCCGGTGGTGAGGCAGGCACAGAACGAATGAAAAGGGTGAACGGGGCGGAAGTGGGCTGTGCATCACGGGCATAAGCGAGGTAAAGTTGAGGCGCCTATGCCTTCCCTTTGGAGTCAGGCCTGGGGAGGGAGGAGAGAGAGGCCAGAACATCCCTCATTACATCGGTGTGACGCCTGACATTTCGGGCATCTGGAAGCTCAGTGGGATGAGAAGCCCTTCCCCGGGTTGGTCACCTTTTCTCACCAGAGGACTCCTGTCCAGGCTTTCTCTGCTGCCTAACGGGTGGTCCTCACCCCCTCCCCAATGTCCCTCTTCCTCTCAGCTTCCTTGTTTTCCTCCAAGACTCAGCTTGAATCCCCCATTCTGCAGGAAGCCTCTTCCCACCAGACAGTGCAGGGTGGCCAGGGAGTGTGTCTTTCCTTTCTCCGTACCCTTGGTGCTTAGCACCGTACTTGGCACTTGGACTAAGTGACTACAAACCACATGTTGGAGTCCACTTTTCTTTTTTAATATATTCAGGACACTCTTGTAGCATTTGGACTGCTTGTCTAGCTCACTCCCAACTTCCTAGGGTTGCTGTGGGCTTGCGCTGCTCGGGTAAACCCTGAAACTCTGGAGAGCATCCTCTGATATCTATAGCTACTGACAAGAATCATGGAGTAAGAGAAAGAACTGATGGATGGACCAGTGGCCCACTGGTATTGACCAAGTGTCAAAGGAACGGGAGGAAAGCTCCCAGAAAGTTAGGTGGACCCTCTGTGGCAATCTCACAGGAGACAAAGGTGAGGCCAACGACAGGGAGCAAGATGCATTATGGGAGGGAATGTCCAAATCGATGACATCACCTTAGTTTACCTTTTGGGTGCCCTAGAAATGGGAGTCATTCCTCAGGCTCAGGAGGTCGAACCTACTTCCTTTTCTGATATCTTTGGTGATGGTCAGATGCAGCCCCAACTTTACACCTGTGTGTGGCCTGGCCCTCAAGGCTCTGTCTTCTGGGACCCCTGAGGCCTAGGTTGCCCCTCTTCACTCAGAGCGAGGTCTCCCTTCTTAGGCTCAATTCTTCCCTTTCTGACCCTAGTTCTTCCAAGACCTGATTATCTCATGATGCCCTCCCCTATGGCTCCAGCCCAGCTCCCTACTCACTGGCTGGTCTAATAGCTCCTATTCTGACAACAGGCACTAGATACCCCTTTCAAAGTCTTAGCCTCAGGGTTCAATCCCTTTCCTATGTCTCTGTGACAAGTCATGGCCCAAGTTCAGGTCCTTACCTCCTGGAAGTGGATTGCTCCCAAACCATTAAAAAACCCAACCCAACAATAACTGAACTTGATGCATGGGTATGGGGGACAGTTACTGTGGCCTTGCCTCCTAGGCCCTTCTCCCCCATCGTCCAAAAGGTCACTCCTCCTCAGAAGAGTTCTGGAGCGGCCTTCCAGCCCCTTCTTGGGGAACCTGGGACACAGGCAGTAATTTGCACATCCGCAAAACTGACACTTGCTGCCTGATGCTTTCCTCTGAGAACTGATGTCTTTTCAGAAGGCATAATTACATACCATTTTTATTAAAATCAACTGAGATAATGTATGCAAAGTGCTTTGAAAATCCGAAGCTATTATCAGTTGTCTGAAAAGGGAAGAACAGTATAGAAATGTCCAGGCAAGGGTGTGGGCCTCCTATGGGAACCTAGAAAGACAATTTTCATATCCTATCAAATGAACGTTGAAATGTGTGGCTCCAAGATTCCAATGCATCATGTGGTTAGGAAATTGTTACCCTCTGCTGCCTCTGACTCCTGGCCCCTCAGGGCTACTCACTATTAGAGAAAGAAGACCAGGATTGATGGAGAAGTAGATTTTTTTTTTTTAAATCAGACCTTCCTGACAAGGAAAATCCCTTTACCAATACAGAGAGTTGGACACTTGTCTGCAAGTTAAGAGTCTTACAGCATTGTCTGGGGCATTGAAAATGACTTGCCCAGGGTCACACAGCCAGGATAGAACAGAGGAGGGGCTTGGCCCTAGGTCTTCAAACTAGTTCAATCCCCGTACCACACTGTCTCTCTTGGATTTTTTTTTTTACACTAGGGTTCTCAGCAGGCTGTTGAAGGCTCACTTTTAAATTCTGCTTTATAAAAATAACCTTATATCTTAATACAAATTTCTTTTTTTTAATACAAATTTCAACTAATCCCATGGTCCCTCATGAGGCCAGATTTCACAGGACAATAATGATTTCTTTTGATTAGAAGGTAACGCCCTATGTTGGCCAGACTCGATTCCATCATTCTCAAGGGTCAGTATAATTATGTAATCTAGAAGTGTCAGAAATGGTGGCGTAGATGTCAGCCTTCTGGCATGAACCTGAAAGAGGCTACAGAAAATCAGGGCAGTGTATTTTTAAACTGATGGTCTTGTAAATCTGCACGGCTTGATATATACAGTCCTGGTTTTTTATGCCAATTGTCGCTCCATCACCTGTTACAGATGCTCTGATGATGTTGGAAAGCCAGCCCAGGTCGAGCAGCCTGAGACCAGGCTAGACATGAGAATTCTTGGAATTTTGTGAAATCTCTTTCAAGTACAACTTTGTGGTGGTTGTCATCTGTAAAACAAGGTTGTGAAGACCCTAGAATGTTGACGCGTGGAAAACTGATCTTTTTGAAGTGGATATAAATTACCTGGTGAGCTTGCAGTCTGTGCCAACATCACTACAGAACCAGGCTATAGACTAAAGCAAGAGGTAAGAACCCCCTTATTAAAATTGAGTCAAACTGGTCAATCAGGGAGGTTTTACTAAAAGTACTTTGCTTTAGGATAACTAGGACTTGATAACATAGTTTGCAAATCTCTATGAAAATTAATTTTATACACAATTTTTTTAGTGGCTTCTTATAATGAAAAATGCACTTGAATGCTTGAAATTCAAAGGAATCAAATGACTTCTAAAATGATGTTCGCTCTTTCTGCCTTAAAGAAAGTACCTATGTTTAAAATAGAATCTCTCTCTTGGCATCCAAGTTAATTAACTGCTTAATTACACAGGTCTCCTTTCATAGATAATTCTAGAAATTTTCTACTAGAATCAAGGTTTAGTTTGAAACTTAAAAAAAAAAAAACCATACAAATGACATCTCATATTCTAATAAACCTTTAGGAATATTACTAAAAATTTAAGTAAACCCAAGAATTTTTATATTTTCATTGATTCAAGACCCTATAAAGCCAGCCCCTAGAATAGCTTTTACAAGTTTCATCTCATTTTAAGAAACATATTTCCAAGTCTTTTCTTGGTGGGTCAGAGCACTTGATTCTGGGCTAAAATGGTTTCTCAAGGGTAATTAAGGTAAATGCTTTTCACTCGAGCACGAACTTCAACACTTGCAGGAAAACAACATCAAACTAAGAATATGAAACTCAAAACTGAAACTACCCTGAAGAGTATGTTGTGTCCCAGACACCCTCACCGGACTCAGATGTGTAAATTTCGAATGCTAGTGGTACAAAATAGCAGCTGAGACCCGATTTCTTAAAGAGTCCAAGTTGGTCTTCCCATCAGAGCTTTAGAGATCTTAGGAGAACCTTGGAATTCCCAGTGCTGGCTAGGGCTTTGGTGACTATCCAGCCTAAGCCTGTCACTTTACAGACAGGCAAGATGAGGCACAGGGTTGTGTGACTTGCATAGACAGGCTGCTGTGGAGATGGATCGTTTTTGCTTTTTTTTTTTAAGGAATACATAAAGTCGTCAGCATAGCCTGCTATAATCTTGATGAGTTAACTTCCTGAAAGCAGTAACTTGTGACTGAACCTAGGGGCTGAACTTAAGAGCGCCGAGGAGCTCTGTCCTTGATCTTGTCCCGCCATCCACAGCTAGAAGAGCTTAAGCTGCCTACAGACGGTCAACACCATCCCAGCCCAGCCAGCCACCAGAAAGCAGCGGCTTCATCCTCTGACCTTCTCCTGACTTTGGGACTCTGTAGGTAAATGTATACAAAAGGACACCAGGGCTTCTACTCTGGGACAGATTCCAGCTTCTCCACTGTCGCTAAACAACACAATGAATCCCTAAAACCACAGTGCTTTAGGCTGTTGCTTTCACATATTTATATCTTAAGCTTCTAATTTACCAAGAAAGACTTACAGAAGTTTTACTGTTAAGAACAAATCATTTATAACATCACATTAGAATATCCTTACCAGTTTAATCCCATTCTAGGCTACCTCATCTTTATTATCAAAATATTATTATTATATTATAATATATGATATATATCATGTATTATATTATTATAAAAATAAACTAAACATGCCTCAATCGTCTATACTGGCCACACACCTGACTCTCCAAACTGATTAATACGGTAAGCAAATGTAGATGACATTGATTCATCCAAGATTTATGTATTATTCTTGGCTATGATACATTATATATTAGCTTTTGGCTAATAAGCAGGATAGCAAAGAGAAAGCTTTTGAGATTAGCCCCTAATACTTGAAGGTCCCTTTTTACGTATTTCCCCTTTTTTAAATCACAGGGATCAAAAGTGCTGTACTGGACTCTGCTGGTTCTTGTTGCTTTTTCTTCTGAAAGTTCTGCCAGGCTGTCTAACTTTCCAGGGGAGCACCCCCAAATCCAGCTGGGAGCTGTGCTCCCAACACAAAGGTAGGCTAAAGAAGCACGTCTGTTGACATGAATCAGATACACTTACCAGCGAAGTTTGCCGGAGGAGCTAGAGCAGTAAAAGAAAATTCTTCCTGCCTGCGAATGACTAATATAGGCAGCCCAAGGTGCAACTGAAGGCGGTCCCAAAGGGCCTGACTAATCCCTGTGCAAAACAAACAGTCCTGGGCCACAGCAACGTGTGTACTTTGTTGTGCTCAGGGAGGGAGCTGCCTCCTCTGGCTGGGAGGGAACATTTACTACATGACAAGGAGTTTGGGCAGAAAGATGCAAAGCTGGACTCTTGGGGCATGGGAAATGGACCCACAATGAAAAAAGTTCCCTTGGTTTACTGATCATGTAAAAACATTAGGGGAATTATTGTGTTACCAACATTAGAAAGAAAATGGCAAACTTTTAAAATAAAAGATGTAGAAAGTATTTTCACCAATTAAAGAACCCAGCCATGTTTTGCTATAAATAGCAATGTTGCAATAAACTGATACTTATGTGTAAGGACACAGGAGATAAGTGAGGATATGCGCTCTCTTCCCCTCAGCAGTTTTATCATTGGGGCACTGCCAAGTTACATTTCTGTAAACAGTATTTTCTATCAACCTCTTCTCCAGTGGGAAGAAATCTAGCCACAGCATTTTTTCAGCTGTCAAAGGCCACAAGCCTACATGTTTATGTTGAATGTTTTAATAAACCACATATCACCGAATTATGCTATAGTTTCCATTTATAGGGTTTTTTTTTTTTTTTTTGGTGAAGCAGTTGGGGTTAAGTGATTTGCCCAGAGTCACACAGCTAGTGAGTGTCAAGTGTCTGAGGCCGGATTTGAACTCAGGTCCTGACTTTAGGACCGGTGCTCTATCCACTGCACCACCTAGCTGCCCCAATAGAATGTTTCAAACAATGCGACAGTGAACATTTTGCTTTTAACACGCATTTTCCCCAGTAAGAACAGATAAGTTGAATCCCTGAAGCTCCCGGCTGGATGGGACCTTTTGGGGTTAGGTCCATCCCATACCCTCAACAACATCCAGTCAATGAGGTGACGCAGACTCTACTGGCACATCTCCAGTGGGAGAGGATGGCTGGCCTTAGGGACAGGCCATTACATGCCTGGAGTGCTCTAATTGCACATTAGTCCTTTTAAACATCAAACCCACTTCTTCCTGGTGGTAGCCTCCACCCTCAGTTCTCCCCAAAGTGACCCACCCAGACCGGACCTGATTGCTCTTCTACTTGACAACTTGGAAGTATTTTTAGACCCCTCCACCCCCAAAACACACCCAAGTGTTCTTTTCTCAAGGCTAAACCTGCCATGGCTTCCCTCACCTAGCCTTCATCTGTTGTAATGAGACACAAAGTGAGAAGGAAGAGCTATCACACACAACACGTGTTGGTCTTCACAACTCTGGGAGGTGGGTGCTATCGTGACCCCCATTTTATAGCTGCGGAAACTGAGGCAGACAGAAGTCAAGGATCTGAAGAAGGGTTTAAACCCACCTCTTCTTGTCTCCAGGTCTAGCACTTCCAGCTAGGCCCTGACAGAGGGACAGAGATAGAGACAGAGACTGTGCTCCTTGGTATGGGGAACTCCCAGATGAGAGAACTCTTTCCACCAAGGCAGGTCAGCGCCTTCGCTGACCCCAGAGTACTGGGAAGTTAAGAGGCTTGTCTGGAGTCACTCAGCCACTGTCCGAAGCTGCACGTGAACCCAGGCCTTCCTGACCCTGACGCTGCCTCTTACTACAAAGCAGGTCCCCCCTCACCTACAAAAAGTTCAAAGAAAAGGTCTTCCATGTGCAAAATGAGTCACAGCAGCACTTTTTGCGGCAGCAAAGAACTGGAAACAAAATCATGAATATAATGTAACATTCCTATGCTATAAGAAATGACAAAGATGAGAGACGTGGAGAAACCTGGGAAGACTCATGCCCAATGAGCTGATGCAGGGTGGAGGGCATTCTGACAAGGGAAAGAGAAATGCAGAAGAAGACGGAGCATAAAGAGCAGGAGCCCTGCGGCTGGCCGAGCCTGGCTCCAGGAGGCTGGGAGCGAGACGCACTCCCCACCTGTAGGCAAAGTGCCGCCCTGTGGGAGCAGAAAGGCAAGGCCAGTGGTGCTCTGACAAGTCAGGGCTTCTACTGGGGGTCCTGCGGGAGCGTCTGGGTGCCCACAGGGACGTCCAAAAACCAAACCAAAAGGAAAACAGATGAGCAGACACGAGTTCAGAAGGGATAGGCAAACAAGGTGGTTTTGTTACTATCGTGCTATAGTTAATGTAGCCTTTAAAAAAACAAATCACGTAATACAAGTTGATGGTTTCATTGGCAATCCTTTTTCTATTCTTTGTATACTGAAATCATGTTTGTGAAGTTCATAATACGAAAATAGAATTTAAATAAATAAAAAAGAAGTTGCCTGGCGTTAGGCCTAAGAAGGTTATAGGCCTACCCACCGGATCTGGTCCTGGACAGCCCCCGGGTGGGAATGAGGCCAGTCAGAGGATGACGACCTTACATGGGGAAGGCCTTGAGACTGTGCCAGATGATCAGCTGAAGAGCTGGGGGATATTTAGCCTGAGGAAAAGAAGAGTTGGGTGGGAAATGCTCACTGTTTTCAGGTATATGGAGTCCCATCACACAGAAGACAGACAGCTTGTTCACTTGGGCTCCAAAGGAAAGAACCAGAAGTTGTTAAGGAGATTTTAGGAAATGACAGCCATCCAGAAGCAGGACAGATTGCTTCGATTTCCCATTTACTGCAGCTCTACAGGCTAAGACTGGCTGAGTGCTGTGGGGGTCTGTGGTGGAGCTGTATTGTGGTCTCCCTCCCACTCTCAGGTTCTGGGCTTCTGGTTTCTAGGCCCCTCACTGATGGGTCGTCCTTGTCTAGACATGCTCTGGATTCCAACTAGGTAGGAAGTATTCTGTTGGATGCTGGGGATGCGAGCACCGAGATGAAGTCGTCCTTATCCACAAGGAGTCTGCAGTCTTATGGAGGGTGGTGCTGATAGCCACATGCCTGTCTCACGTGTAGAGCTGCCCTTTCTCCTTGCCAAGGTCAACAACCCCTCAACACACACCTCTGATCCCCTCCAATGCCATCTTCACCCCTCCTCTCTTGCACATTTTAACCTTCAGTCCTTCCCTGGCCACTCACTGCCTCCATGTCACCTGCAAACACGTCCATACCCCCCACACTTACAACTGATGCTACCATTGCGCCTGGCTCTCCTTCCCTTCTCAGATAAAACTCCTTGAAAACACTCTCTACATTTGCTGTGTCCTCTCCTCCAAAGCCTCAGCAGCCAGGCTTCGGACTTCCTTGTTTTCCTTGAATCTCTCCTCCCAAGTCCTCAATGATCTCTGCATTGCCCCCCCCCTTTTTTTTGGCAGTTGGGGTTAAGTGACTTGCCCAGGGTCACACAGCTAGTAAGTGTCAAGTATTTGGTCTGAGGCCAGATTTGAACTCAGGTCCTCTTGAACTTCAGGGCCAGTGCTCTATCCACTGTGCCACCTTGCTGCCCGAGAAATCGACGAGGATGGGATTGCATCGCCTTTTCAGAATCCTCATTCTCCTCACTCTCTCTGCAGCCTCTGACATGATCGGCTGCCCTCTTCTCTTGAATAATCTCCTTTTATGGGCTTTCGTGACCCTGGCTCTTGGCCAGTTCTCTTCCTATCTGTTCAATGGTTTCTTCTCAATCTCCATCCTGGCCATCCCACTAACTGCGAGGGTTCCCTTTGGACGACCTCATCTGGTGACCTCCTCAGCTTCCATGGACTCAACTATCATCTGTTGGCAGATGATGCCAAGACCTGCATATCCACCCCTCACCTCTCTCCTTTCCCCAGCCTCACACAGCCAACTGACTTCGGGCCATCTCACAGACATCTGAAGCAGGATATGCTCAAGTATGACCTCGGTATCTTTCTCCCCAAAGCCTCCCCTCTTCCTGACTTCGAGAGCACCACCATGTTCCCAGACATCTGGGCTCACCGCCTTGTGTCACCACCCCCACATCCCACCCGTCGCCACGTCCTGTAGATTCCATCTTCCTGGCATCTCTCCCCTGCCACTGCCCTGCTGCAGGTCCTCATTCCCTCACACCCGACCTACAGCTACAGCCTCCTGGTTGGTCTTCCGGCCTCGTCTCCAAGCGCTCCAAACCATCCGCCACTCAGCTGCCGCGCTGATGTTCCTAAGGTACACGTCTGACCAGGGCATCCCCCCGGTCAATGAGCTCTCAAGGCAACCCATTCCCTCCAGAATTAACAGAAGCTGTTTGCCTCCTAAAGGCCCCTACAAGTGGGCCCCTTCCTGCCTTACTCATGTTTACCTCCAGAGGCCTCTCTGCTGTTTCTCCCACACAACCATCCCCCCACTGACTTGAGGCCTTTTCGTTGTCTGCCCCCCATGCCTGGAATGCTCTCCCTCCTCTCCGCCACCTCCTGGCTTCCTCTAAGACTTAGCTCCAATCCTACCTCGTGCAGGAGTTCACTTCCCAGGCGCCCCCTCCCCCAATCACCACCCAGGCTCACTGCTACCTAGTTACTGACATGCTATTTCCCCCCTTAGAATGGGAGCTCTTTTAAGGAAGTTACTGGGTTTCCATCTTCCTTTGGATTCCAAGCGATTTGCACAGTGTCTGGCACACAGTAAACACTTGGATGCTTGTTGACTGACTGCCTGATGGTCACAGACGCAAAACCAAGGTGAACTGAAAGAAGGAAGAAGCCCAGGAAGTGGAGGTGGGGCTAGTCAGGGAAGGCTTCAGAGAACAACAGGTGGTGGGGAGCTGAGTGAAGGACGGAAGGAGGAAATGAGGAGGGAACACATTCCAGGGACTTGGGTTGGCTTGTCCAAACCAAAGGCGGAATGCCAAGTATGGGGAACAACTAGGAGTCATCTGCAAAGGGAGGGGTTGTAGTCCCGTGCCACTGGCTCCCCAGAAGTCAGGGAGACCGTGTCAGGGCAGGGAGGGCCTGTGAGGGCTTCCCCTGCGCCAGGCTCTGGGCTGAACGCTGGGATGGCCTTGACCTTTGGCACAAGAGCTGATCTCCCAGAGAGGGGTGGATGGCTGGCCCGTCTACAGAGGCAGTGGGTACAGGATCCTGAATCACTGGGTTAAGATTCAGGACAAATGCCGCGGCTGCTCTAGGGCAAAAAGGCTGTAACTAGAATGGATTTCACTCCTTGCCCAGGGCCTCTGCCCAAAAGCTGCAAGCTTGTAGTAATGGGATCTGGATGCTCCCCTGGGTATAACACCGCCCGGGGCCTCTTCCTCAATACCCCCCTTCTAGGAAGGCTAAAAGTCTTGAAATGGGTCCAGGGAGTAGCAAATTTATACAGTGCCTTTTCTGTTTGCCAAGTGTTTTACATATATTATCTCCTCTGATCCTCAAAGTAAGCCTGGAAGGTAGACACCATTGTCCCATTTTACAGAAGCGGAAGTTGAGGTGCAGAGGGGTTAAATGGCTCACCCAGGGTCACCCAGCTATGTGTGAGGCAGAATTCAAACTTAGCTCTTCCTAACTCCAAATACAGCACTTTAGTTCATGGTATCGTTGACATTTATGCCCTGAATGGAGGCAGTGAGGTGGTATAGTAGCTAAGAGTTCTGGGCCTGAAGTCAGGAAGACTTGAGTTCAAGTCCAGCCTCAGATGCTTACTAGTTGTGGGACCCTAGGCAAGCCACTTAACTTCTGCCAGCCTCAGTCTCCTCATCTATAAAATGGGGATAAAAATTAGTATGTCCTTTACAGGGTTGTGGTGAAGAACACTTTGGAGTGATCTGTAAATGCTAGCTGCTAGCTGCTACTGTGATGATGATATGACTGTATTTATTCAATAATTTTCTTGCTCATGAATTAAAAAAAAAATCATTGTTCTCTTGAAGGGAAGCCACGCAGAATCCCCAAGAGCAGTGAAGCTGAACACCCTAAATGGGGCTGTGAATAACTGTGTGTGCCAGTGTACAAGTCTGCTCTCCATCGATGGGGAAAGAAAGGAGGCCGCACGCTTCTCCTGGAACACGGCAGGTCCAGCCTCCCCTGCTCCACGGACTGCTGTGGCTCCACAGCGCCTCCAGGATCAACGAAGTCCTCTGTTTGACGTTTAAAGCCTTTCACACCCTGACTCTCTCCCTCCAGGCCGGCCGTTTCTCACATGTCACTTCATCTCTTTGCTTAGCCTTTGCATAGGCTGCCCCTTCAAGACTCAGTAGAAACACCACCTTGTGAATGAGGTCTTTCCTGATTGCACCAGCTGCTAGTGCCTCTCCCCACAAATTACCTTGCATTTATTTATTACTCAATCACTGACTGTATATTTTGTATATGTTAGGTGTAGACCTTGTTTTTTGGGGAACCAATATGGTGCTGCGCACAGAGTGCCGGGCCTGGAGTCTGGGAGACTCCTCTTCCTGTGTTCAAATCTGACATCAGATACTTACTAGCTGGGTGACCCTGGACAAGTCACTTAACCTCTGTTTGCCTCAGTTTCCTCATCTGTAAAATGAGCTGGAGAAGGAGATGGCAAATCACTCCAGTATCTCTGCCAAGAAAATCCCAAATGGGGCCACGAAGAGTCAGACATGACTGAAGCAAATGAACAACAACAACAATGGGTTGTTTTGATGATTAAAATGTAAACTCTTTGAGGGCAGGCACTATTTGATTTTTTTTTTTGTATCCTTAGCAGAATGCCTGGCATACAGTAGGCATTTAATAAATGCTTCTTGATTGACTGAATATCATCCATTATACTTAACCTGGATCTTGTGTCTATTTTATGCTGGCTTCATTTACATTTGGTATGTGTAAATCACCACTACTTCCAAAGGAAAATGAAGAAAACAACATTTTCCCAATGTATTTTTTACCCCTTCCTCCCTTCTGCTTCTTTTTCACTGTTAAAGTAATGAGCAGGCCACAGGCAGCCATTCAGCAGGACGTTAGGAGAGTGGATGATTTCACATGGGCAGTACGGTGCTCTAGATAACAGTATTAGACTTCAGCAAAGGAACAAAGACTGAGTATGGCTGAATTCCAGCATCATCAGAATTGCAGAACTTTACAACTGAAAGCAATGTTAGAAACTGTCTGATCCAACGCCCTGAAGAAAGTGGGACCAGAGCAGCTGGAGGACCCGTCCAAGGGCCCACAGCTTCCCGTGATTCTGACCGATGCCGCCGCAGCCTTGGAGGCCCCCCCACTTCTCGAGTCATTCTGGGCAGTCGGGTCAAGGCACAGCACCGCAGGCCCATCCCTGCCCTCCTGGGCTCTGGCCAGTACAGTACTTAACATGTAGCCATCACATGCGCTGGAGATCTGGTTCAAGGTCACCTTCCTCTGGGAAGTCTTTTCTGCGGCTAGTCACTTGTCTCCAGGCAGTGTGTGTTGTTGTTAAGTTGTTTTCCATTCATGTCCGACTCTCCATGACCACATCTGGGGTTTTCTTGGCAGGGATACTGGAGTGGTTTGCCATTTCCTAACCCAGCTCATGTTACAGATGAGGAAACTGAGGCGAACAGGGTTAAGTGACTTGCCCAGGGTCACATAGCTAGTAAGTGTCTAAGGCCACATTTGAATTTAGGAAGATGAGTCTTCCTGATTCCACTACACCACCTAACTGGTCGTGTGTGTGTGTGTGTGTGTGTGTGTGTGTGTGTGTGTGTGTGTGTGGTAAGAGGCCATCTGGTCCAGCCCCCTCATTTTACACATAAGGAAACCGAGGCAGAGAGAAGTCAGAGATTCTAGGCTCATAGGTCTCGAGGCAGAAGGCACCTTGGGCGTCGTTCAGTCCAACACCCTCACCCCATTGTACAGATGAGGAAACTGAGGCCAAGAGAAGTGTAAATCAAGTGACTTGCTTGAAGTCAGACTGCTGTGTCAGAGCTGGGAGCTGGAGCCAGCTGGTCTGACCTCAGAGCCAGGGCATTTTCCGTCACACTAATGATCTTATCCAGGTCCATGTTTTCGTATTTCTAAAGGAGAAAAATACTTTATTTTTAAGAAATGGTATTGAAGTTCTTAGGGAGGGAAGCAGACAGGATAAGATAAGAGGGAAGTCTCGGATTTCCATTTTAAAAACAATTCCACATCATATTTGCATGCTAATGACTAACAGGTATGTAGCCACTACCTATATTTTTCAAGATGAGTCATGAGACATTAATTTCCTGCACATCACAAGCACATGAAGCCCACGGTATGCAGAAGCGAGTCAGGAATACTAACATCTCAGGAGCCGTGATGCCCTCATCACGGTGCACTTTGCACATTACGGTGCGCCATCACAACCCTTCTGTCTTCATTATTCTGGGCGATTCTTGCCTCGGTCCTCCTAAAAAGCCTTCACAATCATAAATGACATATTTATAGTGCTCTTTAAAATTTGCAAAGTCCTTCATTTCATCCTCATGACAGCCCTGACTCTTCTGAGACAGTGGCGTGCCATGACTTCAGACACACAGCATCACTGGGAGAGTACAGATGTTAGAAAGAAGGGTTTTGTGGCAGGAAGAAATATGGAGGCACAATTTGTGTGGCCCAAAGTGACACACAATATGCTAAAGGCAATTCGGCTATGTCCATCCTCCTATTGGATTGGGGCGCAGCTCAATGGCCCTTCTAACTGGGTGTCATAATCTGGGCAACACATAGTTTTGGTGACAGTTTAGTTTGGCCTGTATATATAGACTGTTAGGTCTTATCTTTTTTATGTATAGATTGTTAGGTTTTTCTCTTTTTTTTTTGTGAATTGTTAGCGCAATCTCTTCTGAGGGCCTATGGATCCCACTGTAGAGGTCTTGTAGTGGTCAGTGAGCTTAAGAAGTCATCACAACATCACAGGCCCATGTAGACTATCTTTTCCATTTTCCCAGCAGTTCCTGATGAATGGCGCTCCATTATTTCACAGCTGAGATACAACTCACCATCAGCACATACACTAGTGCTGCTCATAGCTGCCATATTTCTCCACTTGGCAAACAGATCAAGTGCTCGCCATCTGAGGCGATTTCAGGGATCTTTCTATGATCTTGTTGTGATGACTTCTCTATACCTGCTAAATCTGTCCGAGCCATGATGCTCAATGTTGTTACTTGTAAATATTTCCTGTTTTCTCAGAGAACTGAGCTCAGTGAAATAGGTAAATAATTACAGCTGTTGTAATTCTGATCTTTGTTTGACTTAGTCCATGGTGTGACGGGGTGGGGCGAGAGAGAGAGAGAGAGAGAGAGAGAGAGAGAGAGACAGAGCAGAGACAGAGAGACAGAGACAGAGACAGAGAGACAGAGACAGAGAGAGTTCACTCTGAAATGACTCCTATGCATATCTAAAAAATTATCTGCTATGATTTCATCAATTCCATATTGGGGGGAGATTTCTGGTGCTTGCTAAATTCAGCACCTTCACATGCTGGTTTAAATTTTTTTTTTTGTTAAGATGCACTGGCCTTTGGGAAATCGCAAAATCCTTTAACGACCCCAAACTTCCCCAGACACAAAAGGGCATCTTTTAAAACACCCACATTCTAGTGATGTTGCTGTGTGGTATTTGTAGGATACAACAGTCTCTGAGTATGATTCAGAGCAGCACAGATCAAATAAGGAACCACAGTAAAGGATGTCATCAGAGAAATGTGAGATGCTGATGCTGACAACTATAGCTGACCTTTACACAATGCTCACCATGTGCCTGGCACTGTGCTAAGTGCTTTACAAATGTTATCTCATTTGATCTTCACAACCCTGGGACGCAGGCACTATTATTAACCCTATTTTACAGATAAGGAAACTGAGGAACGCATCAGGTGAGTGAGTGTCTGAGGTGGGATTTGAATTCAGGTCCTCATGACTCAAGGCCTGACACTCGATCCACTGCACGCCCAGTGGACATCTCATGCACCCCATGGGTAACCTCACCTTGTCAGGAGGAAGGGTGCAAGATGCCTGCTACACCAGCTGAGGCCTCTGGGGCCGTGCTCTGGGAGGACACGGGCAGATGTCACATCAGATGGGCTGGCTAGCCAATTCCACATCCCACACCCTGTCTGCTGGGTGAGAGTTGGCCTCCTGGTCGGGCTTCCTTTCACATTCTATTGTTCAACTGTTCTGGTTCTGTTTACTCTGCCCTGCCTTGGTCATCTTCCTGTGTTGCTCCAGATTCTTCTCACTGGTCATTCCTTAAGGCACAATGACACTCCATTCCATTCCTGCACCTGTTTGGCCAGTCATTCCCCCAGATTCTCTTCCTGAAGACAGTATTTACAATGTGAGAAGTTGTCAGCCTTGGGCCTCTTTCACTTCCCAATCCCAGCCTTTTCCCACCCAGTTCCTCTCGCCCACCTTCTCATCAGAGTCCCTGAATATCAAGGCTACGGCCTCCCTGGCGGTCTTTCTGCTTCTCTTCCTCCTCTGCACTTCAAGGTGGGAGGGCCCTGACACCAAGGAAGCGATGGTTTCAGGTTTGGGGCCCCTAGGTGCCCCGTGAAGCCAAGCGCTCAGAGTCCTCTCTGCAAACAGAGGCCGTGAGCCATCCTTGCACGCAAGTAGGATCTCTTTGGGTCATTTGGCTCCAGCTAGGGAGAGACAGACTAGCACAAGGGGACTCAGTTCTTCCAGGGACAGAGAAATCACTGGCCAACTGAAGACAGATTTTATGTGAGCGATGCTAAATGACAAATGAGTGTTTGTCTGTGGTCTGGGAAGGGATTCATGGGACCCTGGCCAGAGCAGCAAGGGACCTTGGAGGCGGGCCAATTTTACAGATGAGAAAAGGAGGTCCCAAGACACTAAGGGACTTGCTCAAGGTCCCACAGTTGCCATTCTTTCTTGCAGGGCTGGGGAATCTGCAGCCTCGAGGCCACATGTGGCCCTCTAGTTCCTCAAGTGCGACCCTTTGACTGAATCCAAACTTCACAGAAAAGTCCCCTTAATAAAAGGATTCGCTCTGTCAAACTCGGACTCAGCCAGAGGGCCGCACCCCAGGCCCTAGAAGGCCACATACCCCTGTATGTCCTTCTTAGCACACTTTCTCCTATTGTAGAAGCTGAAGGAAGTCATTGAAGGTTGTAAAATTCACTCCTGATTTGCTAACCTTCTGGTCGCTGGCGCTGCCCCCTACTTCAGGGCTTGGTTGCTCCTCAGAACAGTAGATACAGTCTGTCCCAGGGCTTCTATTCATATAGAGGAAGCATGGGGCTCGTGGCCAGAAAGCTGGTCTCAAGCCCAGGAAGAGCTGCATTCACATCTCACCTCTGATACACGCTGGCTGTGCGACTGTGGGTAAGTCACTGAACCTCTAGGTGCTCCTGGACAGCAGTTCTGGGGAAGGTGCTGACCTGTACAGGTAGCAGGAGCTTGCTCAACTGAGAGTTCTAGGGCGATACTGATAACTGTTTAACAACCAGCTCTCCAGAAAAGAAAAAGAGTATGCAGGGCATACTTTTAGGTTTAATC